GTTGTTATTTGTAGATAAGTATCAGTTTATAAGGCACCAACGGAATTGTATATGCAAACTTACAGTACACATCTATAGGCACCAGCAGCGATTATTAGGCATGTGAATTATACTCTTTGGCTATACAAAAAATCTAATGCAGCACAAGAAACGCGAACAAAGCTGGCGATTCATGTTTTTTGCTCAACACAACTCTCCTAACAGCCGGAAACACACACACACACAACACATGCAGCGATGATAAAGTTTTTAAAAGGAAGTTCTGGGGGTTGGAGCCTGAGAACGAAGTACACTGCAGACTGCTAAGAAGATTGGGAGGAACTTGTGCCACCTGTGTTTGAGAGGATGCTTGAAGTCACTTCTCTGCTCCCGTTTGATGTCCGTACCCTGAATCACTGACTCCCAGAACATCACCAGCCACGAAAGGGACAAGCCCCGCAGTACGACGCCTCCATCTCTTGGGAAGCGCTTCCCCACTGGCTAAGCACCCGAGCACCCGAGGCTGGCCGCAAGCACAAGCGCAGCTCACGGAGATGCAACGTAGCTCCATCCGGTTGGACCAGAACAGTTTTGCTTCGATGTTGGCATGCTGTGGAGATAGCAGGGGTTCTCAGAGAGGTGCAGCCGAATGCCCAAGGGTTCCTCCAAGTTGAGTTGGTGACAAATTCTGCGTGGCGGTCAGACACAGTAGGGGATAGATGGTTTTAGAGTAGCTTAGGGTATGCAGTAGAACAGGAGTGGCGCTAGGTCCTCCGGGCCAAGGTGTTCCTTTCTTGGAAATGAGCATGACCCGCCGGAACAGGCTTGCTTGCCACCCATCCATCAACTGTCGTTGCATAAACTTTCCCACGCTCTCCATCTCAACTGATTTGCAAGAGGATTTCTTTTTCAGCGATCTATTCTGCATGTTCTCACGTAGGTTTCTTCTGAGAAAAGTCTCCCTCCTTTCTTTGTGCCTTGAAAGATTTCGGTTGAGGTGCTCACTGGACGGGTGCCATTTACTTCCTTGACAGGATGCACCAGGCTGTCGCGTTCTGAACTCAGGCGATGTGGCATTCCTAAGCTTTGGTTGAGACAATAGATCCTGCTGGACTCCGGCATACACAATGAGCCAAGGTCGTTTTCATCTCACTACCCCAAACGTGCGGATTGTGCTGAATTTGTTCGGAAAAAGATGTGGGCAAGCCTATCCCACGAAGAACGAACTCCTGTTTGGTTCTTAGGCACACGTATGTACTTGAGATGTCAAGATAATCAAAGAAAATGGCTCTACTATCATCTTACAGGAACATGAAGCATTGTTAAAAATGTTCAACCTTCCTAGATTGCCAATGATTCGACTGAGGCTAACTCTACCTGCATGCACCGCTGCAGTCATCGCCTGTGCCACTTGTCTGGTCGGACTTCTGTCAAGAGGTCATAATTCCTGGATGAACAGCGAATCAAGGCCTAGCCGGGCCGGGCCGGAAAAGCATCATAAAGACTGTATAATTCGCACGCGCGTGTGTGTAAACCCTTCTCCTGTTTGGATGCGTCCTTGGACGGTTATATAAATCGTAGCTGGGAGCATCCCCGTTTTGTCTCCTTTCTCCTTTTCTTTTTTCCTGTCCCTTCCCTCCCCTGTGCGCAACGTGGTTACAGACAAACGAGGTGTTTGCAACATGGTCTTTAATGAGGTTTGGCTGCTCACCGTTTTGTCCCTTTACTTTCCTTTTCATTGGCCCCCACACACCGTCACCCTCTTTTCTTTCATGTCCGTTCTGTCTTCATGTCCTGTCGTCTTCACCCTTTTCCTCTTTTGCGCGCACTTCTATCCAGACCTGAGTTTGTGCGCACACACACACACGCGTACCTTTTTCACCAAACTAGGTATAGGTGCCCCAGGTATCGCTACAAGGAGGTTCGGTTCATCGGTCGTCCCTTTTCATTTGGTTCTCCCTTCATCGGCAACCACACACTTTCGTCTTGCCTCGTCCTCTTTTCATGTCTTCTCTTTTGTCCCTCTTACGTGCACATGTGCCTTCGCAACCCCCTTTCCGGGGAGGATGGAGACTGCACATACGCCTCAGGCCTTGGGAGGCGTGAATAGCCTGGAATCAAAGGTCACAGGGGGTCAAGGCGCGATATCACCCGTTAGTCATGGTGGGTGATATCGCGGGATGTGGGACTTGGCCAGGCCCATGTACATCATGTACCTGCATTGGTTGTGAATGTTGTAACTACCGACCACTCGTAGAGGTGCCAGGCTGTTTAGGTTTTCAGGTTTGCAGTCATGCTTGTTGTTGCTTTTTTACAAAGATTTGCACTTGCTGCTTGTGTGTTAAATGTCCAGTTTGCATGCAGTCAACCTACTAGCGATGGCTTGTAATTTTGTGGTGGGGACTCACCTTGATGCGATGGCCTCCAGCCTACCCCTCTGTTTAACCTGATGGTGACGTGAGCTTGCATTAGATTGTGATGCGGGTTCACATCGTTTGTGTACGCAACCAACCTATGGCCTCCACCCTGTTGCGATGACCTCCCACCTAGATGCGATTTTTGTCAGGTTTTCTCAGTTGAGGCCTGTCTTCGGTACATACTCGTAGTGCTTTTCTCGGTGGGAACAACATTTTACACCGAAACGAACGTCGGTGCTCCTTGGGTATGGTGCTTCTGACTTTCAAGATTTCAGAACATTTTTCTGTAACAGTTTCCAAGATCCGCCCGCCTGCCCTTTTCTACGCGGCGTTTTCAGGTCCGGTCGGGCGAAGGTCCACGCGGCTTGAGGCGCGGCTTGGGACTTTGGTTTTCCCAACAGCAGGACGTTCGTAGGGAGTTGGAGTTCCAGTATGTGGTCGGATTTTGCCGGTGTTGGGGTTCTATATTTTGCCACATTGACATTCTTGACTTGCAATCATGCGATTGCGTTCAAAGCTCAAGACTCATTCAGATCCTGCGGAAGGGTTTCTGTGGTGTCAGTTGCGTGGCGGTGTTGTTTGGACAGATGAATTATATAATTGGCTGGAGGCTCGCCAATTGACAAATGCAACAGGTTCTCAAAAGCAGGTGCCACAAGTCGCTTCAGTTCTGTTTGAAGAACCGTTGCAATTTGAGACCCTGGCGAGATGGAGCGATGCTGCGGGTTTCTCGTGACCTGTCAATGAGTCAGGGTTGTACAACCGAAGCCAGCTCGTACGTCGTAGCGTTGAAAGAGGTTTCTCCGTTGACCTCTTCAGACTGACGATCAAAAATTGTCAGGTTACTTCAGCAGATGGTGGTGAGTCAGATTCTGCCAGACAAGGTCTTGTGCGCGATCCCAGCAGATATCATGGATTCCAGACGTGGAGTCACAAGCGTTTCTTGGGGTGCTAGATGCTCAACAGATCCAGCGTTTCTGAGTTCTTCGTTGGTTTGGTCTCTGAGTTCAGAGAGAGGAAGGCTTTGAGCAGAACCCACGACTGTGCCTTCTACGTCCCCATTCGCGCTAGGTATGGCGGAGCACTTGCAGCTGCAAAAGGGATAGAGGCCGCCCAGTGAATCGGAGGGCGTCCTCATGAACTCAAACATGTCGTGTCTCTTTTTTGGCAGAAGATCTACAAACCGGCTGGCGTTGGTCAAAAAGTGGATGAACATCCATTGACAGCACTGCGGTTCCAACACTCAGCACACAAAACAGTAGGCTGATGCCAAAAGATGTTGTTTCTTTCATGGAGAGAAGAACAGCTGAGCCTACTTGAAGTTGCTGACGAAGGAAAACCTGATGGTTTGCCAGTTGAAGTGAGTTGAGGTCCGCGGTCTTCGAATTTGAGTAGCAGCAAAGACTACACTGTGGTCATATCTACTGGTGGAGGTGGCTGCAGGAATTTGAACAGGCCTTAATCAATGTAGAGCAAGTAGACTGAATTTCCACCAACATCCATGAACATCCTCTGTATTTCACCATCCTTCCAAGACAAGCAACCTCACGCCCTACTTTTGCAATGTGACCTCTCCCAAGATCTCTTGTTGGACCGAATCGCCCTCGGACGGAAGCAAGCCTTGCCGATCGGCACCGTGCCTCGACACTGATGCCTCGTCCGAGGATTGGCCCATGGCGCTCTCTTTGATGAACCATTTGTCCCCCACTTGGGGCGACTCTGAGACAGTTGTCTGGTGGAAGGTGGGAGGTAGGAAGGCGGTCATGGGGTCATCTGGAAACTGGACTGATGCAGAACATGTCTCCTTTTTGGATCTCTGTGCCATTTCTCTTGGACCATGCTGAGACAGCGTCCGCCCTCAGCTGTCGACATTTTGGATCGAGATGGCTTGCAGAAGCAGATACGCACGTGATGTCCACGTGCGTCGATGAATGCGGTCTCAAATAAGAGCAGAGATGGTGACTTGGTACTTCACAGGGAGGACAACAGGAGGACAACAGGAGCAGTTGGACAGGCAGATTTCTACCATTTGCTCCTGGCATCTACAGACTGTCAGAACTTGCATTTGTCATCCAAGGCAACTCAGCTGCTTCTTCAGATTTAGAGGCACGAGCTCTGGGTGTTATAGCCATCCCACAGGTCGTTCTTTGTTGCGACCCAAGAGGGTCAACGGGTCCCCGATCGCCTCGGATCGCCTCATGGGGACCGGTATCGCACGCCACACGGATTGGAGCCACCCTGCTAGGAGGATTGTGATTTCATCCGTGAGCCACCAGCAAAAAAGCTCAAGATGGCTACCTGGCTTGAGCAAACGAGTTTATGAGGGAAGCGGCCGGTCTTGTGCTGGTTGCCACATTCGAGTGAACCAAGTATATATCTAGAGATGGTCAGATATGGTCATGCAGCTTCTACGTACAAATTCATGTAGAGATGTCAGATGATGTCAGAAAATAAAATATTCCTTGACCCGGGATCGTGCCTTTCTCAGATCATTTTCTTTTTGACTGGGGCGTCTCTGCCGCCGTCCTTCGGCGTTGAGGCATCTGATGCTTTGACAAGGACTGGCCCGGCAATTGGTGAATGATGGTCCCAGCGGTAGCCATAGCCAGCTATGGCCAGTTGTCAAGGTGTTGGCGACCTCACAAGCTGACGTAGCCCATCCTAGCCCTCCTCAAAGACTCCCATGCTGCACGCAACATAAGATACTGTAACGCTCCCCGATCCAGACCCAAACAGTGTCATGGTCGACCCCAGAACGCTCCCCTGTCGAAGCTGCAAACCGGCGAACCGGGGGAAGGCTGCGCATGTGCACGAACCTGCGCAGGTTGGACTTGAGAGGAACTGGCTCTCCAGGGAATTCCGAGAGCTTCGAGGTCGACATCGCAGCGCCAAACGCAGTCTCCTGGAGGAGTGAAAACGCCATGGAGCTTATTCACGTGCAAAGAACTGGTGGAATGATGATGATGATGATGATGATGATGATGATGATGATGATGATGAT